GGGTGTCGAAGGGTTCCACAATTGATTTGATGACAATTTTGGGGCACATTCAACAGAGCTGAACAGTGTGAACTGTGAATAGCAGCTTTTTTTCTTTTCTTTTCTTCTTTTAAGCGTATATGAACGTTTACACATAATCACACAAAGGCTAACTTTCACACACCTGCTGAAAATATCGTTATCTGGACGTTTGCTGTGAAATTTTATACACTATTCAGTACACATTTTCTACACAATTTGTGTTTATTTATTTATGTCATTTATAATAATTGTATAAGGATCATGCGATAATATAATAATAGAGATTTATAATGTTTTATGATGTAAAATGGTCAGAGACGTCGGTCTGACCTTTGCACATGTTTTTGTTTCATGAAGGCTTCCAGGGTGATTCCATTATGATGTAACAAAGACAAGAGATTTTCCTCACAATAATATGGCACTGCATCCAGCCTGTTATAACAAATAGAGAAACTTTAAAGAAATTGACGCTGACATGCAATAGAAATTCAGCTAACCCTAACCCTTCCATAGTATGCAAGTCAATGGGGGACCAGCAATTGAAGGTGAACTATCCCTTTAATGGTGATAATAGTGGCATCAACAACCAAGTATATTATTATAAATCTGGTGTGTGTGTGTGTGTGTAGGAGGAAGTTATTTGGTATTTTTTTTTATGTAAAGTTACATCAGTTGCGGAAGAGAGATAACCATCTGAAATTTGAAACACCTAACTATAAAACTTCATGTCATAAATGTCACTGATTTTTAATGTTTTTTTTTTTTACCCTGACAGTGTCAGTCTGTATAGGGTGTAAGTATAAGTATACATTTATGAGTGACTTACTTTTCTGCAAGTTACATCATTTCGCCAGTAGATGGCGACAAGCAACTGTCTTTCTGATTGAGTCATTTAATCATTCATTCAACCGATTCAGCACCATATGTTACTCGAAAACACGGCAATTCATTCTGCATTGTTTGGAATTATTTTTGTTGGTGCAGCAAAAATAGACAATGTAACTGGAAAAAGTGAGTCTAATACGGTGTCTTACACAATATGAACTTGTATTATTTATTTATTGTTATAATGTTGTAAAAGCAATATCACACTCACATTTCTGATTTTGTTCTGAATATCGGCACAGTTGTGATGCCATCAGAACAACACATTCTTGCTTGTGATATTGTTTAATTATACTTGGTATCATTTAGCAATCGCATTAATTATTAAAGTCACCAAAAACGATGCTTTAGCTGAAAAACAAACCAAGTAGCAAATACATTCTGAATGTCATTCACGTAATGTAATACATTATTTTCCTTATACATTATATTCATTATTTTGTTTTCTTTCATAAAAAGTGACTGGAAAAAACAATAAGATTAAGAACAGTTATTGCAATCTTTTGACAACCCTAATCATTTTTTCCCTTTTTTTTTTTATATAGGTTTAACAAAGCAAAATGGAATATTTTCAGCCCTCTTGAACCTCCTTGGCATTCACTGCATTAAATAGAGCTGAACATATTTCACTTCTGGACTTCTGGTTTATCATTAAAAGTTACAGACGTGACTTTTAATGATAAAAAAGTCCCCGTCCCCCC